CTAAGGAGTTGTGAACAATGCACCAAAGTAGCTGAGATATGCAGTAGCCCACCAATGTTTACTCCAGCCTGGCAGGATGGGGTTGGACGAGATGACCTTTGGGGTGCCTTTCCAATTAGGATGCTAAAGAGTTATGAACAATGCACCAAACTAGCTGAGATGGGCAGTAGTCCACCAATCTGTACTCTGGCCTGGCAGGATAGGGATGGACTAGATAACCTTTGATCCTTGTTTTACTTTTCTAGGGGAAGCCATGCTAGATGTGAAGGCACTCACCCCAGCCTCCCATCCATGGCAGCTGCTCCACCAGGGATGATCTTGGTAATGAAGATGCCGGGGTCGTCGGGGATGTGGGGGTTATCAATGCCCCCCGCGATGCTGAACCCAAGGCCGGAGTTGCCCTGGAGAAAGAAGAGAAGGCAACCCATGTTTACACAGGGCCAGGCAGACTCCTCCTCACAACGCACCATATATATTCCAACAATTATAAGGTGCAGCAAGGGATTTGCTCGGCCAAAGGCAGATCCAGGGAGTACTCTTCCAAAAACAGAGAAAGGGAGGAGTGCTTCCAAGCTCACAGTGCCTTCCAGGGATAAGATCCTTCAGCCCTGGCACTGCATCCTTGGCAAAGCGCCACTCACCCGTTCCAAAATGATCTCTTCGTACTTGAACATGCCGTCGCTGCCATTCACCTAGGAGAGCAAACAGAGAGGTTGGGACAAAGGCGGAAATCCCCGTATTTCCCTTCTGAGAAAGCGTAGCATCCAGGGGCACTCTTCCACATTTCCTCCATGGGCACCGGGTTCAACATGGGTCATGCCTCACAATGCCTGCCCATTTCCAGCCTCCAAAACATGTTGGTCAAACCTTCTGCAGATCTAGATATCTAAGACATAGCACCAGATGCAGAAATGCCTTCTAGATATGGACTCCCCAAGGAAAATACATATGAACTTAAACGTAACCTGGTTTGTAAATGTTTTATGTCACACAGTCATTTTTGGGGTGGAAAAAAACCCCATAGGACTGATTGTAAGAATGGCACTGTCTCTGGAAAATTCCAGTCTGAATGCATCTAAAGTACTGCTGGGCAAAGTGCAGGCAGTTCCAAAGGCTGTTTTGTGTGGCCCTTTTGGAGTGTTTATGCTGCCCCCTTCTGGCAGAACAGGGGGACTACACCTATGAGTGGCAGTTCACCTGTGAAATAGGTGAGCAACCCTTCCCAGGTGCAGATAGGTAGATAGATAGATGATAGATGATAGATAGATAGATAGATGATAGATAGATAGATAGATAGATAGATAGATAGATAGATAGATAGATAGATAGAGCATACTTCAGTAGAGAAGTAAGATGGATGGATGGATGGATGGATGGATGGATGGATGGATGGATGGATGGATGGATGGATTGGATAGATAGATGGATTAATATATGATGGATGGATGGATAGATAGATAGTAGATAGATAGATAAA